TGTGTGTGTGTGTGTGTGTGTTTTGTGTGTGTGTGTGTGTGGCCAGCTCAGCCCACCAGGGGGCGCGGCTGGCTGGCATGTGGTGCTGGAGGATTGAACCGCGGTCCCTGTGCTTTGCCAAGCTTGTTCCAAGTAGGTGCTTTAGGCCACTGAGCCATCTCTCCAGCCCCTGACCATCTAACTTTTAAAAAAATATTTATTTATTAATTTATTTGGTATAGGGTCTCACTATGCAGCTCAAACTTATAGTGATCCTCCTGTCTCAGCATCCCCAGTGCTGAGATTATAGGCATGTGCCTCCACACCTGGTTTCAGTGGCCAACTCAGCATGGCATGTGGCACTGGGGATCAAACCCCAGTCCTTGCACTTGCCAGGCAGGTGCTTAGACTGCCAAGCTATCTCCCCAGGCCCTGAACATCTAACTCTACCTAATGTGGTCTTTCTAAAGAAAATGATGTGAATTGAATTTTGAAAGATGAGTAGGATTTCATAAGAAAATATACAAAGGCAAGCATTTACAATTAACATTTCACATTAACATTCTTTAGCAATGTGTGTGTGTGTGTGTGTGTGTGTGTGTGTGTACCCAGGGACTCACACACACTAAGCAAATACTGTACCATCTTCAGATCAGTATTTTTTAAAATTTATTTAGTACAAGGCCTATAGGGTCTCACTACACAGATCAGACTCGTAGTGATCCTCCTGTTTTCAGCCTCCCAAGTGATGAGATTAGAGGTGCACACCACCATGGCCAGTCTCAGTGGCTGTCTCAGCATGCCCAGGGGCAGGGCCGGCACAAACCCGAGTCTCTGCACCTGCCTAAGCAGGCGCTTTAGTCTGCTGAGCTATTTTGGCTGGCCCTTAGATCAGTAATTCTTTATTAGAGAAGTAAAAGATAAATTCATCAAACACTTTTCTCATCTCGGACCCCATAAAGCTAGGAGTCCAGAAAGAACAGGCTCAAAGCTTCCCAATGCAAAAAAATTATAAATGTTTAAAGAGTAGCAAATGCTACTTACCTTGATCTGATTGCTATACATAGTACATAGGTATCAAATTACCACCCTGTACTCCATAAAAACACACAACTATTAGGTGTCAATTTTTAAAAATTTAAGAAGCACACAAATTTTCAAGGTTGCGGGGCTAGTGCAGTTACTGAGAAAACTGACCTTCTTCCTTGGTACCGACCTGGAGATTCCTGTAGGTAAGAAAAAAAAAAAAAGGGGGGGGGGGTAAAGGAAGCTACAGATCAAAGGTTCTAACCAAAGGATCCCCATCTTACCTGTTAGGTAACTGAGCTGTAACCTTTTCTTGGTGGTCTAGTAGCTAGAATAACTCAGTTGCCGTGTCCCCTGCTAGGGGTTGCTAAGATTCCCGGCAGAAGAAAATAAAGTAGTAGTGTTCCTTAGGAATAGGAAATTGTTAGCTTTGAGAGAACACAATTTTGTTTCTCTTCATAAGAGCACATTGGAAATTCTATGTTATTACTGTATTTGATTTAAATTCTGTTTTGTTCTGTTTTTTAATTTTTTAAAAAATTTATTTATTTTATTTGTGTGTGTGTGTGTGTGTGTGTGTGTGTGGCCAGCCCAGCCCGCCCGGGGGCGGGGCTGGCTGGCATGTGGCTCTGGGGGACCGAACCGCAGTCCATGTGCTCTGCTAAACTTGTTCTAAGTAGGTGCTTTTAGACCACTGAGCCATCTCACCAGCCCCGTGTTTTATTTTGTTTTGTTTTTTTGCAGAACCCAGGATTGAACTCAGGCCTTTGTGCTTGCCAGGGAAGTGCTTATTCCACTAAGCTATCTCTCCGGCCCTTATTACCATATTTGAATACAGGGGATTGAATTCAGAGGCTCATGCACATTAGAGAATGTGCTACACCCCCAGCCCTTCTTTCATTTCTTTTTGAGATAGGGTATCACTGAGGTTGCCTATCTTGGCCTTGAATTTTCATTCCTCCCACTTGAACCTCCCAAGTATCATGGCTTACAGGCATGTGCCACCACCCCTGGTTTAGAGAAATAGGAAGTCTCTGGGAACTGATTACATTGTGCTAGAATAGTCATAGGAATGGGATCAATAGGACAATTATATAAATATTTTGGTTGTTTGGGTTTTTTTCTTTTTTTCTTTTTTGAGACAAGGTCTCACTGTACAGCCCACACTAGCTTTGAACTTACTGTCCTTCTACTTCAGCTTCCAGATGCTGAGATTAGAGGCATGAGCCATCATGCCTGGTCTTCTTGAACTTCTTGAAAAGGAATTTTAAAAATTGCCACATGTTTGGTCTATAAAAGAGTTGCTTATTTGGGTGTGGTGGCACATACTGTAATCTCACACTATAATCACATACTTTGGGAACCTGGGCAATTTAGGGACTTAGCAAGACCTTGTCTCAAAACAAAAATTAAAAAAACTTAAACAGCTGGGGATACAGCTTGGTATAAAGGCCTTGGGTTCAATCCCCAGGCATATGAGGGAGAAACCAGACAGACAGACACAAAAACTCAGTCAGAGATATAGATAGACATAGACATAGAGATGGGGGAAAGGAGAGAGAAGAGAGAGACTTTATAACTGGCATGTCATTTTTCATCGATATGCAACAATTGTTTACAAGTGTTCTAAATACTGGTCAATCCTTTCAGCCCTCCCAGATTTTCTATGGCCGCATCTATATATATATATATTTTTTGGGGGGGCTCATCTATTAACTACAGTCCATCTGAATAAAAATATTATCAGTCTCCATGTGTATTATGATATGGAATAGGTTAGGAAGTCAGCTAGACAGATGGAAAAAAGAAAAAATTCAATTTTCTTTTTTTTTTTTTTTACAGTACTGGGGATTGAACTCAGGACCTTGTGCTTGCCAGGGAGGTGCTCAAGGTGCTGAGCTATACCCCTGGCCTAAAAAAATATATAATAGTAAAGAAAATTTATTTCATTCACCTTTAGGAAAGCTATAAGTTTCTTCATTTCTTCATTCTCTTTTCTCAAGATTGACAGCTCTCTAAGCAAAAGATGGAAACAGTAAACTCCAAGTCAGTAGGATAACTATTATTATCATCATCATTATTATGATCAACATCTAGTTAATGCTCAGTGAGAGACTTGGATATAGAGTATTTTCACCTGGGATCTGGTGATTCTGAGGGACAGTGGCAGGGTACTGATGGTGAGAACAATCAAGTGAACAAAACGAGAAGTCACTCGGTATGATTTCAGGGGAGTCTGCATAGACTTCCATTTCCTTTCACATAATCAGACTGCTGATGTCTAAAAATTCCATCAAGGACTTCATCTTTTAGTTGAAGATTTCCAAATACACCCTCCCAGAGACAATGTTTTAAATGTTATGTCTCTGTTATCAGTGTAATAAAAGACAGAAGTAGTCTTTGATACAAGGAAGTTAAAAGAAGCTATAAAGTAAGAAGGGCCCAGAGAAAAGAAAAAAAAAATACAAAATGGGGACTGAGTGGACCAATCAAAAATTCTGTACCTGCTTTTCTCAAAACAAACATAACATACATGGGAAAATTTTTGATCTTTCAGACATAAGGATATAAGCATTATGATGTCTCAGGAGGGTAGGGAGCTATCTGTGGATTCTACTTGTTACTCACTTGTCCTGATCGGCCACTGTTTTCTGTGCCTCCTGAATGGCTAATTCTAACTTTGTAATTCTGTGCTTATAAAAGGCAATGAGGAGATCTGTTTGTTTCTTCTGGAAACTCCACACCTATGAGGAAAAAACAGGCCTTTGTCATGCATTTCCATGACTCCTTTTCCCTCAACTTTGGCAAAAAAGGGAAATCTATCAATTCATACTTTATTACTATTCTTTTACTTTTGGAACATTTGGATTCATTTATAACTCCAAAAAATACACAGCTCAGCAGTAGGGAAAGGTTTTTCATTTCCAGAACACTGGCGTTCTAATTTCTTAATGCTAATATTGTAACAAAGTGGCCCTTTAAAAATATAATATTTTAATCCTCTCAGAATTGGTTCTCACTTACCTACAATTAGATTAGAGGGGCTGGCGAGATGGCTCAGTGGTCTAAAGCACCTACTTGGAACAAGCTTGGCAAAGCACAGGGACTGCGGTTCGATCCCCCAGCACCACATGCCAGCCAGCCCCGCCTCCTGGTGGGCTGAGCTGCCCCCCCGCCCCACAATAAATAAATAAATGTTTAAAAAAATTAGATTAGATTCAGCTTCCATAGTCTTTCAATTACAGACAGTGGTGACAAACTTACTTTCCCTAAAACAGGTATATAGGCATTTGTAAGTGGTCCATGCTCCTGCAATGAAGGATGAAGATGCACCCAAGTACCCATTCCTAATTTTATTTTTGGAATGGACAAATAATCGTATCTTTTGTATCATTTTACCATTTCCTATACTGAGGTATAGTATTTATCATGGGATTGCTGAATCAGATCAAATATTAATATTTAGGTCTTGAGGGCTGGCCAAATAGCTCAGCAGATTAAAGCGCCTGTAAGCAGGCACAGGGGCTGGAGGTTGGATCCCCAGGCCTGCCATGCTGGCCCCACCCCTAGGGCGCATGGAGATGGCAACTGAGACTGGGCGCGGTGGCATGTGCCTGTAATCCAGCTCTTGGGAGGCTGTAAATAGGTGGATCGTTACAAGTGCGATCTAGTAGTGAGACCCTGAACACCCTGTGGAGCCTTCCTTAAAAAAA